TTATCCCGAACCCAATTTTCCATCGAATTGACACCACAAAGAGTGTGTGTCAGCTCTCAATATGTAGGACAGGCGATGAAGTAGTCCAATGTCTCTTGAGGCACATCCAGATCACCTGAGAAATTACATATTGTCGTGGCTGAAAAATCTATCAACCTTCCACGAATCGGCACCGACTGTTCAGTATCTTTTGGATCAAACCCGGAATAGAATTCCCGAACGCGATTGAGATTTATATTCCCAGTGTTTTTTAACACATAACACAACCCCAACACATTGATGCCTCTCTAAATTGATTGGTACTTAGCTTGTAGGCGACGCTCGTGAATAGCAGCTTCTGGATGTACATGTTTTGGCCGGCAATGCCGGTACCAATCCTTAGTATGTGGGGGTATGCTTTTGAGTCCAAACTCCCGATGTCCTTGAGGTTGTGGACGAGTGGCTGCTATAGTTGCCACGGCTTGCGGTCCTTCACTTTGACTAGAAGTAGCTCCCCCTCCCTTTTCTCTTCTTCGGGGGAGGCAAAGAGGTAGCCTTAGCTTTATATGAAGCAGTGGATGTGGCTTTGCCTTTACCAGTGTCTTTTCTTGGGGGCATATTCGTTCCTACACAAGTAAGCATTAATCAGTTTAAGCTGTATTTCAACATTTCAACACATGGTCTTGCTACCCCACACTTAAGAGTTTAACACATGAGTTTTCTACAATTTCCGAGGTTACTCAGACTTTACCTCATATTTACTTAGCATGAGAATCAAGCAAGGACATATGGGTACTTCCTCCAATTTTGAAGCATTGAGCTACCAGTGAGCCACCCTACACTTAAGATTTTAAATTGGTGCATGACTACATAACACTAGTCTTACAATCCCGGAGACTCTGGCTCCAATGGGGACATAGAATGCCTTTGAGGCATTCTGACAATGCACTAGTGCCATGGGAGTGCTTGTAGGGATAAGGGATTGCTTAACCCTCCCAAATCGGCTTGGGAGTTCTGTGCTACCACTTTTTCACACAAAAACAACACCATTCCTATGGGATTCATGGGGTTGGGACACACCAACACATTGTTACAATGAAGAACATCCCCAAACATTGTGCCCAATGTCATGCATTCACCCAACTCAAAATTTCCAAAGAATAGAGATAGAAATCATACCTTAGATGTTTAAGAGGAGGGATTGCCCTTGCATTGATGTTGCAGGTGAAGGAAAGAGAAGAAGATTGCTTGTCTTCAATGGGTTTGTGAGGGAGGGGGCTTTGCAGTGTTCTTCTTGCATGAGTGTGTGAGCAGTGAATCTTTGGGCAGTGAAGTTTTGAGCGTGTGTGTGTGGTGAGGTTTTGTTTTTTTAGCTTTGGGCGTTTAAGTGAGGGAGGTGTTAAGATAAATAAGGGGGAAAAACTTAAAATAAGCCGAAAAATCCTTACCTGGCGACGCGTGGAACTTACCTCGCCCTAACCCTCGCGACGCGAGCTCAAATGCGATCCTGGGGGCTTGCGGCGCGAGGTATGTCGCTTGGTCCATCATGCCTTATCCCTTGTGATGCCAGATATAACGTGAGCTGCGGCTCACCCAAACCCATGCGAGGCAAACTATTTCGCCAGCTACACCTCACCTCAACCCTCGCGAGGCGAGCTCCCCCAATAGGTTTCCTTCAGGCGATGATTAATGTCCCTCTCGACTTGCCCAAAATCACCTGCAACTTGTTAGTACCTAAAAACGAAAAGAAAATTATAACTACACTAAAAATCAACTACGAGTTGGGTTGCCTCCCAATGAGTGCCTTACTTAACGTTGCGGCACGACGAATACAACATTAGAATGGGTTGCCTCCCATGAAGCGCTTGATTAAACATCGCGGCACGATGCAGGTAATTGTACTTAAGGCTCGCTCAACCTTGGTGGTTCGAGAAGATGAGTCACCGACACTACTTTCGCATCATCCATGCCCAAATAATGTTTTAACCTATGCCCATTGACTTTAAACGTGCGAGAGTCATTTTCCGCAGCAATCTCTACGGCACCAGTGGGGTGAATCTCTATCACACGAAATGGTCCTAACCATCTTGACTTTAATTTGCCCGGGAATAACCTCAATCTTGAATTGTATAGCAATACCATATCTTCGGGTTTAAAACTACGCTCAAGAATATTTTTATCATGCATCATCTTCATTCTCTCCTTGTATAGTCTTGTGCTCTCAAAAGCATGGTAGCAAAACTCATCAAGCTCGTGCAACTCTATGACTCTACTTTTACCCGCAGCATTTATATCGAGATTCAGCTGCCTCAATGTCCATAAAGATCTATGCTCTAACTCCACTGGTAAGTGACACACCTTCCCAAACATAAATTTATACAGCGACATGCCAATTGGAGTTTTGAAAGCGGTACGATAGGCCCAGAGTGCATCATCTAACTTTCTCACCCAATGCGTTCCTGTAGCATTCACAGTTTTTGTCAAAACGCTCTTTATCTCTCTATTCAAAACTTCCACTTGCCCACTTGTTTGTGGATGATATGGGGTGTCAACCTTGTGGCGTACATCATACGTTTCTTACAACTTTGCGAAGGCTCGATTACAGAAGTGAGTGCCTCTGTCACTGATTATTGCCCTTGGAGTGCCAAATCGGGTGAATATATTCTTTCTCAAAAAACCAATTACCCCCTTTGCATCATTTGTAGGGAGAGTTGCAGCCTCCACCCATTTTGACACGTAGTCCACAGCTATGAGTATGTACTTGTTGCCATAAGAGCTGATGAAAGGCCCCATGAAATCGATTCCCCATACATCAAACACTTCTACCTCCTGAATTGGATTCATAGGCATCTCATGTCGGCAGGAAATATTCCCGGTTCGTTGGCATTTGTCACAACCCTTCACCCATAAGTGTGCATCTTTGAAAAATGTCTGCCAGTAGAAGCCAAACTCCAGCACTTTCGCAGCTGCCCTTACTCCCCCGAAATGGCCACTATATGATGACGCGTGACAAGTCTGCAAAATAGAAGATTGGTCTATATCAGGGATACATCTCCGGATCATGTTATCAACACAAATCCTGAATAGATAAGGCTCATCCCAATAATTCATGCGACAATCACGAAAGAACTTTTTCTTTTGAACAGAGGAAAGGACATAGGGAACAATACCGCTTGGCATGTAGTTTGCAATGTCTGCATACTATGGGGCTACCTCAAGGCACGTGGCTAGTAGTTGTTTATCCAGGAAAGTATCCACAATATCTTCCACCTCAACCTTCTTTTCGGATCCTTCCACCCTAGACAAGTGATTAGCCACTTGGTTCTCCATTCCTTTTCGGTCACGGATTTCCAAGTCAAATTCTTACAGCAGTAGCACCCATCGAATCAGGCACGACTTTGACTCCTTCTTATCAATTAGGTACCTGAGAGCAGCATGGTCAGTATAAACAGTTACCTTCGAGCCTATCAGCACCAGGTATGACCTGAATTTGTCAAATGCGAACACCACTGCTAGCATCACTGTGTAATTTAGTTTGGCACCACTCAAAGTTCTACTTGCATGACTTTGATATATTGGATGCATGACTTTGTCTTTGAGCTGCCCAAGCACTGCTGCCACATCATAGTTGCTTGTGTCACACATTAGCTCAAATGCTCCCAGTCAGGTGCAACTATGATAGGTGTTTTCACCAGCCTCTTCTTCAATTCCTCAAAAGCTACCCTGCAATCATGAGAAAACACAAAAGGGTGATCGTTTTCAAGCAATTTACACAAGGGGTTAGCAATTTTGGAAAAAGCTTTTATAAACCGTCTATAGAACCCGACATGGCTAAGGAAACTTCTTATTGCATTGACGGAAGTAGGTGGTGGAAGCCTTTCGATCACATCAACCTTTGCATGATCTACCTCAATGACCTTACTCGACACTAGGTTCCCTAAGACTATACCTTCATGTACCATGAAATGGCATTTTTCCCAATCGAGAACCAGATTAGTCTCGACACATCTTTTCAGCACTCTTTTCAAATTCCTTAGGCAATCATCGAATGAGTCTCCCACTATCGAGAAATCATCCATAAAGACCTCCATGATGTCCTCTACCAAATCAGTGAAGATGGCCATCATGCACCTTTGAAATATGGCGGGTGCATTACATAGGCCAAACGGCATCCTCCGGAAGGCGTAGACGCCACATGGGCAGGTGAATAATATTTTCTCTCTATCTTCCGGGGCAATGGAGATTTGATTATACCCCGAGTATCCATCCAGAAAGCAAAAGTGGGACTTCCCATCAAATTTATCTAGCATTTGATCAATGAACGGCAAAGGAAAGTGGTCTTTTCAGGTGGCCTTGTTCGATTTTCTGTAGTCCATACAAATTCTCCATCCCGTGACTGTTCTTGGTGATATCAAATCATTGTTCCCGTTTTGCACTACAGTCATCCCACCTTTCTTAGGCACATATTGGACTGGGATGATCCAGTTGCTGTCGGAGATGGGGAAAATGATCCCCGCATCTAACCACTTAATCACCTCCTTTTTCACAACTTCCTTCATGTTGGGGTTAAGGCTTATTTGATTTTCTCTGGAAGGTTTGTGGCCATCTTCTAGTAGAATCTTATGAATACAGAAGGGCGGGCTGATACCCTTAATGTCTGCAATGGTCCAACCAATTGCAGTTTTGCACTAACTCAATACCTGCAAAATATGTTCTTTTTGCACATCTAACAAACCAGATAAGATAATAACAGGTAAAGTTGAGTTAGGTCCCAAGAAAGCATACCTGTGGTGAGGTGGTAGTGACTTCAGTTCCAACTTTGGTGGCTCTTCTATCGATGGCTTAGCTGGAGGAATTTTTCTTTTTTCTAAGTGCAAAGGCTCAAATTCGAGCTCTCTTTTCCAAAGCCTTTGGCTTTCAAGAGCCAGCACCCACTCCGCCAAATCCTCTCCATTTACTTCATCCAAGTTCATGAAACAAGCTGCTAGAGAGTCTTTAGCGTTCAAGGTCTCATCTTCCTCCTACGAAATTACATCCACGACTTCTATTAGAGAGCAATTAGCAAATTCACTTGGTCTCCGCATAGATTTCTGCACGTTGAATGCTATTTCTTCATCATTTAGTCTCAATTTGAGCTCTCCAGTTTCACAGTCAATTAAAGCTCTCCCAGTGGCCAAGAAAGGTCTTCCCAAAATTATGAAAATCTCCTCGACAACCCGACAGTCTAGAATGACAAAATCTGCTGGGAATACAAACTTCCCAACCTGTACTAATACATCATCAAGGATACCACAGGGCCTCTTCACTGTCTGGTCAGCTAGCTGTAGCAATATGGACGTGGGTCTAGCTCTTCCAATGCCTAACCTTTTGTAGATAGCCAAGGGCATCAATTTTATACTTGCCCCCAAATCACACAATGCTTTAGCAAAAGCATAGCTGCCTATCGTGCATGGGATTGTGAAACTCCCTGGGCCAGACAACTTCTCAGCTATGGGTCTCGTCATGACTGCACTACAGGTCTGTGTCAATGTAACAGTGGACAGGACTTGGAAGTCGAATTTGCGAGACATTAAATCTTTCATCATTTTGGCATACCCAGGCATCTCCCGTAATGCATCAATCAGTGGAATGTTCATATGTATTTGTTTCAATATCTCCATGAATTTCTTATATTGCTCGTCCTTCTGATATTTGGTCAATCTCTGCGGGAATGGTGTTGGAGGCCGCTTCTTTCTTGTGATTTGAGTTTTATCTTGCTTAGGAACTGCTTCTACTGTCGTTTTTTGTGCTACCTCAGTCTCCTTCACAACCTCTTTTTCTTTGCTTGTGCTCTCTTGTGCATGTTGTACCGTCACCTCAGTTAACCATGTTGAATCATCTATCTCAATGGGTACTGGCATACGTGTTTTAGTAGGTCGGCTTTCGTGAGTAATCTCTTGCTCCAGATCTAGGTCTCTACCATTTCGTAGACCCACTGCCATAAGCTATTTCGGGCCTTGATCTTTTGGATTGACTTGTGTGTCTGCAGGTAATGTCCCTTGGGGATGATTGTTTAGAGCCATAGAAATTTGTCCTAATTGAATCTCAATACCCTTTATCGCTGATTCATGTGAGTCCACACTCTCTTGCATTTTTCCAGTAGACGCAATCAGTTGTTGCAGCATTCTGTTGTTGCTGTCCAACATTCCCTTAAATTCAGCAAACCCATCATCTTGTCTCATAATCTGTTGTTGTTGAGGTTGTTTATAAGCCAACTGCTGATTTTGTTGGTTGGAACCCTGTTGCCTTTGGTAAGGCACCACTTGACCCCGTGGTCGCATAGCTCTAGGATTGTTGTTGTTATTGTACTGTTGTTGTGCTGGTCTATATTGTTGATTCTCTTGTCCCAAATTCTGACCACCTTGCCTCTGCCCCTATAGTTGGCTACATAGTTCATATCTTCCTGATAGTGTTGGTTATCACCTTCCGCACTCCACGAGCATACATAAGGTTGGTTAATGCATGATGTACATAAGCCCCCATTAGTTGCGTCAACTATGTGTACCTGCTGCTTTTGGCCTGATTCATCGATCGTTTTGGTGAGGATACTCATTTGCGTCATTAGAGTGGCCATATTTTCAGCTATGGAGTTGTTTGGGTTCAAAGCCACTGAGTGAACTACAGGAGTCTCTTGTCATCCATCCCGAGTTTTGGACCATCTTATCAAGTAGGATCTTGCATTCTCTGAATGTTTTGCTCAAAAATGCTCCACCTGCTGAAGCATCAACATTGGCCTTTAAGCCGTCTGCCAGTCCTATATAGAACCTCTGCCCCAACATCTGATCTGGAATGCCATGATATGGACACTTAACCAGCATACCCTTGAACCTCTCGCACGTTTCTTGTAGTGATTCTGTCAGTCTCTACCCGAAGCTCAATATATCATCAATTTGTTTGGAAGTTTTATTGGATGGGTAGAACTTGTTCAAAAATTGCTTGACTAATTCCTCCCAAGTAGTGATGGAATTTATGGGGAGTAAATTAAGCCAAGTCTGAGCTTCTCTTGTCACCGAGAATGGAAACAACAACAGATTTATTGCTTCCGGTGTCACATTAGGTTGCCTTTGTGTGACACATATCAACAGAAAATTCTTCAGATGCTGCTGAGGATCTTCAATGTATGACTCTGAGAACAGTCCCTTGTTCTGCAACAAATGTAGCATGTTGTTTGTGATTTAAAATGATTCCACTTATATCTGAGGGGCTGCAATTGCGGTTTCTAGATTGTTGGCGGTGGGTTGTGCCCAATCATATAATGCTACTTCTGGTACAAGAGGCACCACACCCTGATTGTTTGGTTCATTCGCATTATTTCTGTTGTTGATTGGATTTTCTGTTCCGTCATCTATGTCTGGTTCAATTTGGTCTGTCGAGATTTGTTATTGTTTGCCTTTATTGTTTGCACGATTTAGTGCTTTGAAAACATTCTCAGGGTCTGATAATGCTTCGAGTAATTCACCAGTTCTCGAGGAGTTCCTAGGCATGCACCTGTAACACCCAAGACTACAAACGTTAAAGTTTTAATGTATTTGGTTTAAAATGAAGAAAATTGACTACACTAAGAATTCTAGCACTTCTTTTAGTTGCAATTAATAACACCGTTAATTCCCCGATAACGACGCTAAATTTTGATCACGCCCAACTATGCCTTATAAAAAGGACTAAGCACTCGTTGCAAATATATTCCGGCTAATAAGTCCGGAGTCGAATCCCACAGGGAATTAACCTATCAAACACAGCTACTAGACTCACACAAACTCACGCAATCAATCTTCAGAAATATTTAAGTAATAATTTGGATGTTTACTAACTAAATATTACGTAATGAAAATGCAACAATTAATAACTAACTACTAACGGTTTGTAGACAAGAATTGGAATGATCTAAGGCTGTGATTTCCCCTATTGTCGGAGTCTTTTCCCCTACGTTTTTTTTATAAATTTGCTTAAGTCTTCTTTATCGATCATGAGCACTCTGACTGTCGTAACTCTCTCCTGAGTAATTACAATAATTTACTAGACATATTCTCCTGAATTATGCAAGCTGGCATTAAATACGGCTCACTCGGATCGCACCAAGGTGTCGTTATCCCCAATCCCACCTTTATACCCTTCGTATTGATCCCTCATCTACGTTAGGAGTGATGTTGTTCCACAACTACCTAAATATGCACTCTCCCCCGAGTAATACATACTAAATAGGCACAACCAATTTAGGGCCCTTCAATCAACCACAATAATATTATAGTTGAACAAATAGAGAAAATACTACGACAAATCTATATTAACGTAACAAGAAAATCATCCTTCAATAGGTTCCATCAAAATCTTAGATTAGGAGTTTAGCTACTCATACTCATAGTAACAATATCCAAAATATTTTGCATAATTAAATTATAAAGTAAGGATAAAGGGATATAGAAATCAATGAGTGTAGCTCCCAACGGTTGTTCCACGAGCTATCCTTGCTTCCGGTTGCCAAAAGTCCCTAAAAGTGGCATTTTTAGGTCTATTTATATGTGTGAAAAAAGACCTAAATGCGTAGGCCAAGTCCTAGTCAAACCAGGAGACGAAATAAGTCTTCAAAGCTCGGAATGTGCGTGCCTCAGACCTGGCCTCGCGAGGCATAATGCCAGCTTAAGCTCGCTCCAGGCTTGGTGTCGCAAGGTATAACGCATGCTTGAGCTCGCCCCAGGCCTGGCGTCACCAGCTCCCAAGCGAGCTAAAGGCTCACCCAGCCTGCCTTAATGCCTTCTCTAGGCCTGGCTTCGCCAGCTTTTCATTTGTCGGCTGCTCACTTCTTTCTTTCTTCTTTTCAACTGTTTTCGAGCACGCTTTAGACTTAAATTATTACTTTTGCTCTATTTTAAACTACATTTCACATATATATAAAATAGACTCCATTACGTACAAATAAAGTGTAATTTATTATTAAAGCATATAAAATGCAAGGCGAATAATGTGCTAAATTATGGAATTATAGCCGCACATCAGGAACCATACTCAATTATCACAGATTAGTCCATAAACACGAAAGGAAGGAACGATCAATTTAGTAATTAACAAGTCTAAGCATGGATATCGTTATCAAAGAAAGCAATAATTTACAAGAAACAAGTCACACCCGCATGCTTTAGCCCAATTGCAGATGTCTTAATTGTGACCTGGGATTCGCATTTGCGAGCCCCGCAAATGCGAGCTTTTCTTCGCAAATGCGAAGTCCCCGCTTTTTCAGCTATCATCGCAATTGCGATGATTTGTTCGCAATTGCGATGATTTGTTTGCCATTGCAAACAATGAAAATCCGCAAATGCGACCTTTTGATCGCAAATGCGACCCAGTGCTGAGCCGACCATCTTCGCAAATGCGAAAACTTTCTTCGCAATTGCGACCATGACAGGAACTTGGGTTCCTCGCAATTGCGAACTCTGACCTCGCAATTGCGACCATGACATGAACTTGGGTTCCTTGCAATTGCGAACTCTGACCTCACAATTGGGAGATCAGAGGCCTGCACCAGAACTGAAGCACACTAGCTATGTTTTCTAAGTCCAAAACTCACTTCGTAGCCTATCTGAAACTCACCCGAGCCGTCGGAGCTCCAAACCAAACATGCACATAAGTGCAAAAACATCATACGAACTTGCTCACGTGATCAAATCGTCAAAATAACACCTAGAACTATGAATCGGACATCGAACCAAATGAAAATTTATGAAAACTCATGAACTTCTATTTTAACAACCGGATGTTCGAATCACGTCAAACCAACTCCGTTTCTCACCAAATTCGATAGAAAAAGTCATAAATATAGTAACGGGTCTATACCAGATTTCGAAACTAAAATACTGGCCCGATATTAATAAAGTCAAACATTGGTCAAACTTTTAGATTCATTAAGCCTTCAAATTTCAATATTTTTTAACAAAATAGGAAAACTCAAGTTAGTGACCTCCGAATTCGATTTCGGGCATACGCCCAAGTTTCAAATCACGATATGGATCCACCGCGACCATCAAAACATGGATCCGGATCCGTTTGCTCAAAACATTGACCGAAGTCAACTCAAATAGATTTTTAAGGTAAAGTTTCATATTTTATCAATTTTTTAACATAAAATCTTTCTAGAATAACACCCGGACTGTGCATGGAACTCGAGGAGTATAAAATGAGGTATTTGAGGTTTCGAAATACAGAATTAGGTTCTAAAACTCTAGTTGACCTATCGGGCCATCACATTCAATTAATTAAAATGTGTGCTTAATTTTTGTCATTTTATGTAGGAAGCATATAATATTTGTACTATTTTTAGAATTATATTACCGTAATATGGAGTAAGAATACAAGGTTAACATAACACATAAGTACGTAATTAAGTGGTGGAATGGTTAACAATTATGATAAATTTGTGAATATTTAAATCAAACGGCTAAAAAAGTGCACATTTCAATTAAGTAAAGGATAAATATTTATTCAGATATTACAAGAGCTAAAATTAAAATATATTTACCGATAACTAAGGATCAAAATTAGCCTTATTCAATAGGAAAAAAGAAACGATTACAGTGTTATCAAAGTTGTTCAGTATTCGTTTTCCTTTTTGTTTCCCCCTCTTTAAAACGGGATTTATGCAATATGTTATGTACTCAACATTCAGGACAAACTATACTCATAACTCCCCGACGTATAAACTTTATAAATAGGAGAAATTGGCCAACTCTAAGCTCTCAACCATTATTCTCTAGTAGTAGTAAAAAAGGCTATTCCAAATTTAAAATATATACACCATGCAACTCACTGCTCTCTCCCACTTCAGCACCCACCCGCCACCACCTTTTCCGCCGTTTACCTCCATCCTCCGCCGCGGCCTTACACCACCAAATGATTACCCACTCAATGCCACCTGAAAAGTTAGAAGTGTTCAAGTCATTAGAACCTTGGG